AAATATTTGTGAGAGGTAACACGTAAGAGCTTATTTACTTGTTTCATAAAAATTACTTACAACCAGTGTAAGACATTCTGAAAATGATAGCTTTTTTTTTGGACCATAGGCTGTATAAATAAATGGCTTCTCAAAGGAAAGTTCTGTTTGCTTAAATCAGCTTCTTGGTTGTTTATACCTGAAAAAATATAGTCAGCTATGTTCTCTTTAGTTTTTTTAGTAGCCTGAATTAAACCAACTAGATAGGCATTCAACTTATAATTTGAAGCTGCCGGGTTCCTTAAAGTGTCTTTTCTCTTGGGTACATTTTACTCATAATCACAACTGTAATCTTAACAAATAATACACTTTTAATGTTTAAAATGTATTACCTTATTTTTTCAGATAAGATTCAGTTAATTTGAAATGGCACATTCTTTAGCTCAATGCATATCATCATTCATTTGCAAGGTGTAAACAAAGGCATGTGTGAAGGGTACATCTGTGGGATCTCTTGCACATTTGTCCTGCAATCAATTCTGAAGGGGCACATTAGCAATCAGGCTTGAGTTATTTTCCAGTTGAGTGGGATTGTAAAACGGTGCATGAGGCTGGAGAAGTACTGTTACTTTCACTGATGAAAAGTGGGGCAAGAAAGATAAACTTGAGTCGTCGATTGCCTAAAATTTGGGAGGAAAAGAAAAGGAATTTTCTATTTCATACTTACCATAAAGCACTTTCACTAGATTGTACCTAAAATATTCTGGATCAAATGTATCTTTAAAAATAACAATATAATGTTACTAAAAATACAGTCATATTTAAGTGTGCTGAAATAAAGTCCGCATGGCCTTCTTTTGATATCTCCATGGAAATTTTTACTGTAAGACATTGGAAAAATTTAAATATGTTCTTTTAAAATCTATGGAAAAGTGTTTTCCAATTGAGTTATTTTGTTCAAGACAATACATTAAATATATAAAAATTAGACCTGCTTTACATTTCAAGAGCACTTTTATTTATATAAAATTGTATTTGAGAACAGGCTCTCATTACAAATGTGAAAATTCATAAAGCTGATAGATGGCCAGAAGGAAAACTATTGAGATTCTGAGCTTAAATCCAAATTAAATGTAGTTTAGAATCTGGCAGAAATTATATCATACGTTGAAGAGTATTTTATACTTTTTTTGAAGGAACAGGTAGATCTTTTTATCGCTCTACGTTAAGAGTCTATTATAAACGATTACTATTTCTTACCAGATGATCTCTAAAGGGGAGAAACTGATTATGTGATTAAGTCATGTATTGAGAGTAGATACAAATCGTTTGTTATTATAATATCATAGTTCCTATATTACATTTCATTTCCTTAAGTCAGAATCCCCACGATCAGATGAGCTTAGAAAGCTCTTTCCCATTGTTTCTGCTCAGGCAACATTTCTGGAAAATTTAAAATCACCTTCATAAGCAAGTTTAGAGCTCCCTCATGTGGCAGACTCACTAATGAAGATATTAGATTGAGAATCACTAAAAGGACAATTTGCATTGTGGTTCAAGTAAATTGTTAAACATTAGGTGACTAGAAAACAAAGATTAAACAGAGAACTGGAAGTATTTTTTTTTTTATTGACAATGGAAAGGGTTTCTGTTACCATTACCTTTTGACTGAATCTGTTAAACAAAAACAGACATCAAAACAAATGTAATGTACGTGCAAACATAGCAAATTAAATGCAAAAAGGAAATTACTAATGACAGGTCTTGCGCTTCATAAGATCAAGCAGCAGAAAATCAGCAGTTAGATAAATGGTATTATTAAATAGGTTTTTACTTTGAAATCTCCCATATAAACAAAGAATAAACAACAGTAACACCACCAAATAAAGCCACAGGGAAGAGATTACTCTTCTGTACTTTTATACACTATATATGTTAATCATTCTGTCTTTCATTTATTTCCTCTGATAAAACTGACTTCAGGGAAGTCGCAACAAGGCCATCTTGGCTAGAAGCTTATAACATTATACATGAGTCTGACTAATGCCCTGTTACATTGACAAAAGGGAAAGGTTTCTGGATTTTGTTTTGTTTTGTTTTTTCAATGGAAATGAGCCTCAGACTCCGTAGTGGTTGACATTCACTGAACAGTGCTGGCTGGCGGTTCAAGATCTGATGAACATGTGGTTCTTAGTAAAGAAGTTTTTTTTCTTTTTTTCCTTGGTCCACAGGTAACAAGAGAAGATAATATTTATTCCTTATAAATTTTTTTAAATAATTGCTTTCGACTCTTGTAAACAGTTTAGCTCTGTTTTGTATTGAAAAGGAGATCGAGCCATCACAGTGCTATTTCTAAAGATTTAGGACATCCCTGATTGCCTTTAAAGGACTATTTTTGGCTCCAGTTCCAGGTTAAATCATTCCTTTTTACATGATCAGAGGCAGGTTTTCAGCTTTAAGTATTGACAGACTTGAAGGAGAAACATATCGATTTGACTGTTACAATTCAAAAACTGTAAAAATGGTGGGATGGTAAAATACAAACAGTACTTGGAATTGTCAAATGTTTGCACTCGAGACTCCATGAACCATATATTTTATTTTTTTAAAAATCATATTTATATCCATTTACATAAGACACATTTAAAAAGAAATACATACACAGTAATACATAAATGCGTAGTATATTACAATAAAACATGAAAAAACAAGTGGCTCCATTTCATAAAAGCATCAGTTGTACAGAATTATGATGTGGATGATGCTTATTATTCAAATGACTGAAGCATTTTCTTACAACTGTAGTAAACTAATCAAACTTAGTATCTGACTCCCCCCAGGTCACATTTTCAGCTCAATAAGCCATTACTTGTGGTTGTGTCCTTAGAATTCAGTCTTCACAAAGGTTTTCACTGTTTGTCTTCTGAGATGGTAGTGCACTTTAGGTAGAGTAGACGGAAAAGACATCTAAAATAGTTAATGCACAGCGTTAGTCTACCCACAGCTCCCAGCCTGGGCAATGCCCCTCTGCCACTGTCGGTGATCTCCGTGCAGCCTGCCTGCGTCTGCCCTGGGAGCCTGTGCCCAGAATGTCAGCTAGGATCTGACTGAGAGTTGTAGGTAATTAACATTTGCTCTTCTCCGATTTTGTGCAGGCCAACTTAATAAGTAACAAGATTTGCTCAAGTTTGTGGAAAGCATGGCGGTAAATAGAAACAAAGATATTCACAGAAAATGTGAGCAGTACTTTTGAAAAATTTAGAGCTTGCTCATCAATAAATTTGGTTGAGTTGACCTATTCCATGAAAGAGAGTCATATTCTAGTTCATATCTTCTAGAGCTCTTAAAAAGACACCTTTGTTTAACTGTGACAAAAACATAATGGTAATAAATGACATATTTTAAAGGATCTGGATCAGTGATGTGGCATCACTGATTCTTTCCTGTGATAATATACTTAGGAAAAGCTCACAGTTTCTCTTTCCGACACAAATGAAACAATAAATGATATGTTCTGAATTCTTTTAATAACAAAAGTGCTAATAGAAATTGGTTGTCCTAGATTAGATTATTGTAAATAAATACCTTTATCCCATTTAATGGTAAAAACTGGGAAATGTGAACTAGAATGCCATGCACAAAATACAGACTGCAAATAGTTAAAGAGTAATTCTACCCATCAGTCAGGAACTAAGAAGCAAGCACTACTCAACATATTAAATAGTCATTTGTAAATTAGTGAAGTATTCATTTCCTGGGGAAATTATCATGTAGAAGCTATTACAAACAGTATTTTGGAAAGCCTCTTATTTAGCCGAATCATTATATACTTTAGATCATGCCTAATTAGATGCCAAATTGTATACCATAATTAAATTTTTAATGTTAGGTTTTACATTCTGAAATTAAATCTCTTATCAGAAAGCTTTTTGTTTTATCAGCAGCTTCAAATAGTGACCCAAATAAGGCAGCATACCAGCTCCCATATTAGGCCCCAAAGACCAACAATAAATTGCATGGAGCTTTTTCAAGGCAATGAATAAACAGCACAAGATGAGCTGTTCCTCTGCCTATAACTGCTTCCTCTCCCCATCCTTGTGCATATATTGGGTTCTAAATATTGCTCTAAAAATTATTTTTCCAAAATATTAATTTATTATAAATGGTGAATATTTTTGTAAAACTCAGTTTTAGGTTAAAAAAGTTTCATGAGCACTTGACATTTATAATCCAGGAAACTACAGTCTTACTACCAAATCTTTTCCAAACTCCATTTTTATATGGACTTGAAAGTAGATTTCATCAGCTAAGTATTTCTCTAAATACAAATGCCTGCATCTTACGATGGTATAATCAAGGTTTTAGTCCTATTTGCCATTCTTATAATTTCATTTTGTCCCTATGCTGTAAGCCCCAGCTACTTAAAACTCATATTTGTTTTCAACAAATATAAATCACAGCGATGAAAAACAACATGCTAAAAGTTCAAAATTGTCAGTTACCCTTTTGTTTTTAATAATAAACAACCTCTAAGTCATTTTCCTGTCTCTGCTACTATTTGACTCTGTGTACCTACTAGAATCACTCTCTGCTTACTTCAGCTTCCCCTACATAAAATACTCACTTAGAAGTGTGTCATTCTGAAGGTGCCAAACTGTCCTCAGTAAAATGCTATGTGCATCCATATAAAATACTACTCAAAAGCAGGTGACGGTGGCTAGGGCTGCGACCTGCTGATGTGTAATAAGATAGTGCCAGGCTGCCAATAGCGGGACTTTACATCAATCAGAGCAGGCAGATGGTGATCGGAAAGACTGGATTCAGAGCTACCGATGCTAAGACTCGTCTTCTACCCTCTAGTGACCCAAAAGGGTGATCTCCCTTCTGGACTGCTAGGCCATCCCAAAGAGTATCGTGTATATTTCCTACTCTACGTAGGTTCCACTTTGGGGTGGTTTGTCTTTCGTCAGCCAAGGAAAGCTACTCACAGCAAGTCAGTGCTGCCTCCTTTGAGTGGCTTGTCAACATGAGTATGTGCGAACAGTGGAGTTGTCTAACCTCTGCAGTCTTGATGAAGCAACTGCAAACGGAGAAAAGTGCTTTAGAGGAACTTGGATGATGGAGTACAGAATCTCAGATGAGAAAGATGATCCCCTGCGTAAAGGGATCCTGAACATATTAGTAGACCTTCTTTCTCTCAGACATAGGCCACTCACATCCCTTCCCGCTAGACCAAGTTACTAATGAAAATTTATTCCAGTGTGATTCAACTGTGCTTTCGGGTTGTTTTGTAGTCCTCCTTAGATGAAGCCTGTAACAAAAGCAACTCTCCACGGTGCTTCTGTTTCTGAAGCGAAGATTGCTCCTAGAGAATTCAGAATAGTGGATTTTTTTTCCCCTCCAAGTATTAAAGAGCTTCTTCACTAATTTTAATCACATTAGATTCCTCATGAATTTTGTTAACATGTTCCATAATATTAACAAGTGAGAAGACGTGTAGATCAGAGATCACGGTTTATATTGGAACTAATTTTAAGGGCCATGAGAGCTATAACCTTGAAAAGAAATAATGACTCTGGGCAATTGTCTGAATAAAGAGAGAGGGAATTTATTTTTTTTTAATGCCTCCCAAATAGAAATAACTTTGTGACTACTATTTCAAAGTGGTCTCTCCTTCAGAATGGCTGTTTTCCTTTGTGAAGTATGTAACACAAGTCTAATGTCCACAGAAGGAAATAATACTAATTGGGAAATTACTGTTGGCTTTGTGTTTGTTTAATTCTCTTCTCATAGTTGTGCTTGTTTATTTAAGGCCTTCTGCCTTGGTCAGAGGTGAAAAGATCTGATGAGTCTGGGTTTCTAAGACAAAATATAAAACTCACAATATTCAAACATGTAGGGTGACCACAGAGTTAATTTCCATCCACTAAGGACCATTAGTCCAAATCCAACCTCTAACTAAACAAATTCTTTACTTTGAGAATAGAAGAGTAAAGAAACACAAATCATGCAGATGAGTATTGTTCTTCCTAGATGTGGACATTAGCCAAAAATTGTCCTTTTTAGGATTTTCTAAATTCTTTTGAAAAATGTGAACGAGGTGCCATGGGTTCATGCATTAGCCGTTTACAAGAGTCTGGTTTTTGATGAAAGCAAAGTAAACTTCAAGCAGAGCAAACCAACTTAAGAATTCCAGAAAGCTATGCAAGGTCAGAGAATGATACTAGCATTTGCTAAACTGGTATTTTTACTTTATAAGGAGAAATGCAAAACTACTATACCATCCGTTGTCATTTTCCTCGATTGCCCAGATGTTGTGGTTAACCTGAATCCAGCTGGTAATGTTTCTGAGGACCCAGGCATCATGCTGATTCCATGTACCTCACGGGGGGGAAACTGTCTTCTCCATGTTGACCCACGCCTGAAATTCTTGTCATCACTCTGCCAATACAGAATTATAATTTGATGTGATAACAACAAGTAAATTAGTCCAGGTACTTAAAAATGTGTGCTTAGAAACATGTAATATTGATGATTAATATTCAGTCCGTAAAGCATACATATGGAATATTGTGCTTTATTTTGAGAGTTCTATGATTCCAAAATGATAACACAGGAGATTTGCAACAGAAATGTTTTTATAAAAATGTTCCTGTGACTTCAAATCTAAGGTTTGTTATCTACAAAAGTAAACAGTTTTGAAAATCTAAAGTAAAACCCCAAAAGTTTCTCTGAAAAGAATATTAGCTGTTCTTTGTTACACTGTAAGCCAACTCATTTTACTGTATGAGATGACATATTCAGTTTAATAAGTGTTAGGCAAACTGCGTTTGACTCACAGACTTGAGGAACTACTACTTAAATTTTACTTTTATGTAAAAAAGAGAAAGGGAAAAGCTATATTTGATATAGCCTGGATCATATGAGACACTACAGCCTATAGTCTACGTAAGAAACTCTAAATTTGTCATTCATCAGATTTCAGCTGATACTGAATTAACTTGTAGTTTACTGAAAAACCTGTGCAGTCCGGAAACCATCCTTTTAATAAATCCACGTGCTCCTTAGATGCCACTAAAAGCATAATATAATTCTGCTTGCTGTTTTACAAGTGTAATTCTATATCATAATGATATACTCTCTTCCCTCTCTGTGCATACACAAAGTATCTCCTCAAATACAATGAACTTTCTCTAAATTCGTAAGGAATGCTATGTAACCGAGTGTCTAACTAGTAGTATTCTTTATTAAACACAAATTATTCTTTGTGTCAAATTCTAAGGAATATATTAATCATTCTATATAGATCTTATCTTCTTATATCATTAAGTTTCTTATCTAGGCAATGGCTGTCCATTCCCTGAAGTTACGGCTCAGTATGTGGGGTTGACCCTACTAGCTCAGGTGATTTCATTTTGGCTCAAATTATCATTGTTATAAATGAGTAAAAATATAAGGTATTCTTCATCATAGATTGCTAATTTAATTGACATTCAGAGTCATTTTGGAAAAGAAGAAAATTTATGAAATTTTATATATATATATATATGCACAGTTTTACTAGAATTCTTATTATCCAAATCTAAATTTTGTTTAGATTAGGTAGCCATTTTACACTTTAGGAGATGTCTGCTATTCCTTTTCTCAGCTGCCAGGTTCTGCATGGTCCTACGCCTCCAAATGTTTATAAATAAAGAAAAGGAACAGAATTTCACAGTTGTGGCCTCTCTGATTTCTTGAATTTTGAAAGAGTTCTTGCATAAAGATAAATATTCTTCAGTTCTACTAAACACTACATCACATTGTAGGGATATACAACTCCTATAATGCATGAGTTAAGGACTGAAAAATAAGCAAGTTGAAGATTTAAATAATGATTCCTTTTGCTCTTTTATTACTGTAGAAAGTTAATAGGACCTACAAGCGACAACATCAGAGGAAAAAAGTTTCCATGAGGTGAGGTTAAAAGATACCCACTTAACTGAAGTCAAAGTCTATAGAAGCACATGAGCACTTTTCAAATTCTTTTAGTGGAATCTGAACGTAATCAGCCCCAGAAACAAGTATACTCTGGTTCTGGGTAAGTTGTCTAGCTATTTTTGTTCACACTAAAATAAATAAATGAATAAATAAATAGATGACAAAAGACAGGACAAAAGAGACTACAGAGTTTGAGTGATAAAATCATGTGCCATGTTTTTAACAATAAGAAAAAGATGCAGCATATTTTAAAGGCAGATAGTCACATTCCATTTAGATCTTTCTGCTTATTTTTACTCTCAGAAAGCAACACTAACTCACATAGGCTTGTATCTCTACCTAGCTCCTTTGGGTCAATCCACATTTTAAAAATATAGCAATAGGACAGATCTTTAATAATTTTTATTAAAATCCCTTTTGCAACTTTTAAGCAAGGAGAATAATTATGTTCAAAAGGATGTAGGTGTATGTAGACTATCTTTTTGATTCAACAATTAAGAATAAGGACAAAAGATTATCAAACAACTTATAAAATGAAAATCAGTTAAGTATTAACTGGATTTTAAAAATATTATTCATTATCCTATTGGACAGGAGTATGAATTTATAGGAAGTTAGCTGAGGTCAAGAAGGTAGAGCTTATCTGTCCATAACCTCCTCTGCAAAGGAAAGCCTGGGTTTTATAAATCCAAGATCATCTGTCCTGCCCATTTGAATGTGGAATAATTGCCTCATTTTAGGATTTGCTGGGTTCATTAACAAAATTATTTTAATCAGCTTTTCTCGATAGCTAAGAAACACCTGCATTTTGCAACACAGAATTATGCATCTCTGCATTTTCGACTTCATACTCAGGATTTCTTCTTACTTCTTCCAGAAAGGGCCTGTAAAAAACTCAGAAGGCCTGTTAAAGTCCACTGCATTTATCAATGCACAGAGTTTGCCAATGCCCCTTGTATTCCTTTATCTCAGGAGGCTACTTACATGTTTATTATTTTCCAAATAATTTAAACAAGCATATATGATGCTTGGGATTCTTAACATTCCATGTGGCTTTCAAATCTTGTGACTGTCAAAATGTTTTTCATTTGTTTTTAAGGAAAACTCAGTATTGCTATCTAAAATAATGAAAAGCTTCCCCTTACTGAAAGCAAGTTTTCTCTTCATTTTAATATCCTAAAATTTCCTGTGAAGATATACTGATATTTAAGAAATAAGTGCATTCCTTATTAAAAAGCTGAACTTATCAGGATTAGTGTTATCACTGCTTATTTTAAATGTCACTCAACATAATTTTGCAGTCACAGCTCATAAAAGAGCCTGTTTCTGAATTACTTCTTTGTGTTACTAACGGCTGATATGATAATGTTTATGAATTCATAAAGGTTTTTCTAAAACCAAATGAGTCATAACACTTAATAGCTAAGAACAATACTGGGGAAAATTCTAGATTCTATCCCGGGAACAAGCATCTGATTGATTTTTGAGCACTATTCCTTGAAAGCCGTTTTACTTGTACTCTCCGAGATCCCTTGAAAATGATACAGAAGGACTTACTTCATCCAGTCGCCGTTCAGTTCCCAGAGCCAGGAGGTTATTGTATTCCCTTTCAAGAATCTGCCTTGCCTGTTGACATCAAAGTACAGTTATCATCATCAAAGTCACATTTTATTTTAAAAATCATAGACATTACATTCATTTGAGAAAACATTACAAATCCTATTTATGGGAGCTTAAGTTTTTAGTCCTCCATGTCTGCAAGCCGTTGCAAGTTTTAGTTATAAATATAAAGCAGGGCAATTTTCTTTAGTCTGTGAACAATGGAGAGATAGCCTCACATACATGTCTGAGGTCAAGGGGCACTGACCTCACTCTGTTACTTTAATCCAACTGAATATTTTATATAAACTTCACAATATATATAAACAAAATAAAGTGAAGTTGACTGCCAAATTTTTATCACATCTATACGTGATCTTTATCATGTCAATGCGTGATATTCATCACATCTATTCTCAAACTTGTTCAATGATCATTATTTGGGGGAAACTTGAGATAATTAGGATTCCTATACCCTACCTGTAGATATCTGATTTCTCAGGCCTGTGATGAAGCTTGCAGCCTTCTTTTAAGTTTTTAAGGAATTCTGATGATTTCAAATAATTATCCAGGCTGGGGAATCACTGGCATCCTCATTGTTAAGTGTCTGTCTAATTCAGACATGTAAATAGAAATGAACGCCTCTAAGAGAGGCAGAGACTGAAAGCCATCTGCCAGGGGTATTGTTTTGAGAAATCTGGCATTCAGGTGGAAGGCTGGACTACAGAACCTCTAAATCCCTTTTCCTGCTTAGTTTTATGATTTTGTTTTGGCTAGAAATCCAGTGGCTTGAAATTAAAGCCCCAGTGACACATTTCAAAGGTTGAGCTGAGCTAATAACTCTCATTAGGAATCATGAATACACAGCCAACTTTTACTTTTTCGCTAAAAGTTCAGTTTATCATTCTACAGGTTAAGACACAGTACAACTAGAGCATAAAGGGCTCGCCTGGGTGTTCTGGGTTGGAATCTGTAGTAATAAAGCTAAGCTGCTGTAGTCAAAGTTCTCATCCAGGGCTATAAGTGAGCCATGCACACCACTTTCAAGAATATTGTTTGCATATTCTCGAAGTCCAATTGCTTGTATCCAGCGAATAACTCGATCATTGCTCCACACCAACACATCTAGGAAAAGAGGTGCATCATTTTAGGCTGCAGTATTTTGCATGAAAAACAAACCTACTGGCTGAAATGAGCCACAGGTGTCTGGCCAAGTCAGCATTTATGCCGATTTCTTCATCCACTCGCTGATGCACCTGGCCCCCTTGTATTGCATGTATTTACCGTTCTCATAACTCACCTATGCTACTTTTAGCCTAGAAAAAAAAGTTGTCAATTTGAAGAGTGTTTGTTATCACTGAAAAGCACTTCCATAACACAGAACACGATGTCTCAAAGTGTTTCCTGTTTTCATTCTAGAGCTCTAGGGGTCTGTCTGAAGTGCAGTGATTTTATCACCAGATGGGGACATTTCTCCTTTGTGTCTTGATACACAGCTCTTTAGTAAAGATGGCAAAATGAGAGGCTAATATGGTTCTTCATCATTGTTTTTTTTTACCACTGGTTAGATATTGAATATAGTAGAGAGACTTTAATTTTTAACCTGAAGCAATAAATCCAAGAACAGAACAGTAAGATAGAACAGTGATTCCATAGTTGGCTCCTTACCCCACTACTTTGTCAATTCATTATTTTTCAATCACATACTAATGCAAAAATCAAGCACTCAGTCAAGTCACAAGTGGGGGGCGGAGAGTATTTATATATTGTTTAAGTTTTTCAAAAGCATTACTCATTTGTCCTAATGCATTCATTTATAATCAAGTTAGGTTTGTGCACACCATTAAAGCAAGAGAGTGATACCTCTGCCGCACAGGGGCCCCTTATGTCATGTTCTCAGTCACTGTCCTCACGTCAACAGTAACCAATATTCTAACTATCCTTAACACAGATTAGTTTTGCTTTTGAGGTTTGTTTTTTAGCTTTTTATAAATGAAACTGTACAATACGTACTTTTGTGTCTGTGTCTTTCACTCAATATGGGATTCATCTGTGCTATGGAAAATAGAAGTCTTGTTTATTTGCATCATTACTTAGTACCCCCTTGTATGATTATGCCACAGTTGATCCATTCTACTGTTGCTGGACGTTTGGCTAGATTCCACTGTGGGTTATTAAGGATAGCGCTGCTTTGAATAACCATATATATGTTAAATAAATTCCACTCTCACAATTTAAACCCCCAATGGCAATGTATAAAAATCTGCATCTTTACCAATACTTTGTATTTTTCATATGTTTTGTTTCATTTCATTGTTTTTAGCCATTATGGTAAATTTGTTGTTGTTATGGATTGAGTTGTGTCCTCCCAATATTCGTATGTTGAAGTCCTGATCCCCCACTACCTCAGAGTGCTACCTTACTTAGAGAGAAGTTCTTTATTGAAGTAATCTAGTTAAAATAAGGTTATTAGGGTGGGCCCCAAACCAATATAATGATTTCCTTCTGAAAAGGGGAAAGTTGGAAATAAGATATGCAATGCACACAAGGAAAACAATATGAAGATCAAGGCAGAGATCAGGGTGATGTGGTTAAAAGTCAAGAAACATCAAGATTGACAGAAAACCACCAGAAAGTAGGGGAGAGGCATGGAACTGATTCTTCCTGACAGCCCTTAAAAGGAACCAACCCTGCTGACACCTTCATCCAGCCTCCAGAACTGTGAGACAATATATTTCTGTTATTTTCCAGAAAAAGTATAAAGAATACTTGGGGAAATATAGTAGCTTTATCTATTGAAACGTTAAAATTGCCTTTATTTTTAAAGAGTATTTTTAAGTTCACAGCAAAATTGAGCAGAAAGTACAGTGTTCCCATATAGCCCCTGCCCCCATAGATACACAGCCTTCCTGACTATAAAATCCCTCACCAGAGTGCTATATTTGTTACGTTAGACAAACCTGCATTGACACAGATCCACAGTTAACATTAAGGTTCACTTTTGGTGGTGTACACTCTACAGGTTTGGACAAATGTATAATGATACATATTCATCATTATAGCATCATACAGAATAGTTTCACTGCCCTAAAAATCCCCTGTACAACATTTATTTATCCCTCCCTCTCCAACTCAGTAGGCAACCACTGATCAATTCTTCCTGTGTCCAGAATTTTACCTCTTCCAGAATGCCGTATAGTTGGAATCATATGGTGTGATTCTTACAGTATAATCATACAGTACTTTTCTTTCAGTTAGCAGTATGCATTTATGGTCCCTCCATGTCTTTCCATGGTTTGGTTGTTATTTCTTTTTAGCCATACTGAATTTTTATATACAGACCCTGATAAATTCACATATTAATTTGAATTATATGGCATATCATTAGATTACTTGGATTTTCTATATATTTTTTCCAATCCTTATGTTTTTTTTTTTTTAGTTAATGAGGAACTTGTGAAGAAAGACTCATAATGCCCACTTCCCACAGTCATTACCGTTCCCTGTTCCAGCCAAAGCAGAATGAATTTCTTTAGGCAGAAGGATGTTTATTGTCTCCCTCACACTTATGGGTCTTTCTTTCCCCATGTCTTCAACAAGGCAAAAGACATTCTTAATGATCTTTACTACATACAGAAATTTTTTACTCTACAGAGAAATTCTTTACTAGATAGAGAAATGTTATAGTGTATACACACACACACATATTCATTCAGTGGGGTCTCCCTGGGTCATTCCTAAAGGGTATATTTTCCTTTGAGTTTTCATTAGCTTGTTCTATTGAGGTGTTAAATCTCAGAAAATGGGATATAAGTTGGTTAGTATTATATTTTGGTTAAATTAATCAACTGCTGTTGATAACAACAGATCGATTCAAACTACTGGTTGCACTAAACTTGCACTTCAAAAATTGGGCAGGTATGTATGGCTGACAGCATCTGTTCTCCAATTGCTTTCACTAACGGCAATATTTTTAAAAAGTAATGCTACAACGGTTTCCTCAAAAAATAACAAAACCTGTCCAGTTTGCACGAAGTGGATCTGTAAGTAGGAAGTGCTTGTTCTTTTCTAGAGATGGGCTTATATTATGACATTTGTATTTACTGTGTTTCTGCAAATATAGACAAGACATTTGCATTTACCATATTTCTGCAAATATATCTTCATTAAAATTCCATTGCCACACCTGTAGCTCAGAGTACTCAAATTTATAAAATTATAAATAGAAAATAATCCATTTATTTATAGGGTGAAGGTAAATAAAGCACTAATCTAAACTTTATTCCTTCTGAACAGCAATATACTTTTTTTTCATTTTGTAAATCAGATCCCTTTCTATAAATCTGTTTTCAAGAAAAATTTATGCCCTGACTTTAAAGCTTTTGTAAGGATCCTCTTGACCTCAACAATAAATGGCTAGACATCAGTGTTGACTGTTTCCTAGCAACAAATTAAATGTTAGTACATTCTTGATATTCACATGGTCCCTTCATTTCAGAAAGCTATTTATTAAGGTCAAGGTTAATTAACACTTCAGATAATAACAGAGACCCTTTGTCAGCGTCAAGAATTATTCCTGCAAATGTCATTGCGTCAGCTACAGGAAACAGGGGCTTTTTATCTTTTTATGATCTCACTCACAGCCACCTATCATATGGAGTGGTCTGTGTACAATCAGAGTAAATCACAGCAGTTTTTCTCAGGGCTATGTTCTAACCAGTAGCTGCCAAATACTAATATAATATTTGGTGTAGGGCCAAATGGGTAATTTCTCCTTCTCTTTTACATCTGCCTATATATGAAGGATTCCATGCAGTGAGACCAAGCATAATAAAATCTAATTGGAAAAAATACTTCAGAAAGAAAACTAGAAAGTGGTATCCCATGGGTAAAATCTATTTGTGTGCTAAAACATCTTTTGTTAGGTCAAGCATAGACTTCTTTCTAATGTCTTTCTTTGATCAACTCGTTCCCAAATTTCAACTCAACTGAATGACAATGTACTGAAAACAACTTGCAATTTCCTGGGGCCCCAAAATAAAGTGAAATCAAACAACTCAACTTTGATAATGGAAAAACACTTTCTTGCTCCTAAGTAATGAGTCAAATGAACTGTTACAAGAAATCCATTGTGTGTCTATCTACTCTCCAATGAACCACATATGGAAAAATATATTAACCAATCACCTTCACGTGCATTCAAACCCATTCTACTAGAACTAATGTGCTGTTCCCTAAACTGCCAAAGATAAAAGTAATTTCTTTTTTTTTTTAAAGATTTTATTTATTTATTTGAGAGAAAGAATGAGAGAGAGAGAGCACATGAGAGGGGAGAGGGTCAGAGGGAGAAGCAGACTCCCTGCCGAGCAGGGAGCCCGATGCGGGACTCGATCCTGGGACTCCAGGATCATGACCTGAGCCGAAGGCAGTCGCTTAACCAACTGAGCCACCCAGGCACCCTGATAAAAGTAATTTCTGACATTGTTTATCACAAATGAAAATGACAGAAGTCTAAGATAATCCTAAAGAATAAAACAACGTTAAACTTGAATAGGAAGGAAAGGGTAACATAACATGCAGCACATACTATTTTCATATTTAAAGTGAGCCCCCCAAAAAAGTGAGACCCAAAAGAAGTGAAGATGAAAACAGAGACTCATGCCTAACTGTAAACAATTAATGTAAAAACACCTATTGAATTTGATGAAATGCTCCCATATATCAACTCCTGGGGAAGAGTAAATGGAAACATTGCTTGTATCCAAAATCTTCCACAAAAAATTTGGTGATATTTCCCTTAAGGAGAGATTTTTTACTTTAAAAAAATATAAATGGACTTAAGTGGACTGATGATTTTTACTGAAAAAGACCCATAAATACTTATACCCAACAATTAAATTTTCTTTCAACAATAGTAATAAAAGCAAAGTGGTGTCTAATAAATATAGGATCTAACATGTTCTTTTAAACAATTCTTTCCCCTGTATATTAAGGTACTTCTCAACATTTAGAGAATTAATTATTAAATACAATACTTTTCTAATCTGTAATAGGGAGTGTCTTTTCTTATTCAAATCAAACCTTTTTGTACACACAATAGTTGCAGCAATTAGCAATGCTTTTAAATAATTTCTTTGACTTAACAATTAGAGCTAAAATTATTAATGGATTAATCTCATTTATAGAGGGGAAATTTCTGTGTAACTTCTATATAAAATCCCTATATGATTTCTGTAACTATAGTACACAAATAAAATTTCTAAGCACTGAAATAAAATGCAAATGATATAAACCAAAGATGAACTGCTATAAATAAATTATATACCATGTTTCTCTGTTGAATATGAGAATGTTCTATTAAAAGTTTGACAAAAATGTCTACCTGAAGGTATCTCCAGGACAAACAATGTATAATTAATAGGTTCAGAGGAATAAATCTTAATTTATTCATTTGTTCATGATCATTTGTTCATGATTCATTTGTTCATTAGGGGGTCAATGCAATTTTAAAAAAAAAAATCAAGAATATGTCCTAGATGGGATAGTCACCTTATAAAGTGATGATATCTTTTTCATGTTTATATTTAATGTTTCATAAAAGCAGTAAAAAAGAAATAATGATGACAGAATTCTAAATAGTGGCCTAAACAGTTATGCTACTTAGTGACCTTGTAACATATACAGCATTTGGGATTCATAAAAGTGAAAACTAAAAACCCCAGGAAAAAAGGCATTTGATATGAAAGAAAGACATACTACCTTTTATTTCATGTTGGCTTGCTTCCCGTCTTCTTTCTAGTTCTTTTCTGTCATAATTCAACCTCTTTAAGCACATAATTCCATATTGTAAACTTGTTCTGTTATTTTTTTTTTAAAAGAAGAAAACACATAGAATTTACTCAGCAGATAATAAATGTTCTTTGATTAAGCATACTCAACACTATGCACTACTTCTTAGGGCAACAGAATAATAAATTACATTTGCAATTAAATCCTTTAGTACTGGTGGGAAACAAACTACAGTTATTTGAAGCACACGAGGTTTCTAAAGAGTAAAAATATTAATTTCAAAATAAGAAAACCACAGTCTTGAAAATAACTATGGATTATGTTGTTCATCCATATGTCTTTGTCTTCCATCAAGCTATTTTGGCATTATTTGCAGACAAATGAACACTTTACTCATTTGGAAAGAATTTAAAACCACTATTATGATGAGAGGAAGGAATTTATAAAAAATGAATACTTTCTTCTTAAGCTGATGAGAAAAAAATATAAACACATGAATAAGTTAAAGTAAGACAGAGAACCACATACCAAAATGAATAGCTACCACCTTTCAGTGATACAGAGTATGTGAAAGAAATAAGTCAGCAGATAATGAAATTCTGTGTGGAAAGGATATTGTGGAAGAGCAGAAAACTGATCAGATCCTTAAAGGTCAGGTAGCAGAGAAAGGGTTATTAAAGAAAATGGAGCACCATGAACACAGGGTCGCCAATGAAATTTTAAATGTGTGGTGATAATGAGACATACTGTACAGAGTTGGAAATCCATGCCAGGAAGTAAGGAGGAATATGATTACATATGGAGAATGGGGTAACATTAAGGAAAGCCTCATTCGGCATAAGCGTGGAATACATCTAGGTGACAGAGAATTATTTGGATGGTTTTCACAGCAAAAAGAATTGATCATAAATGGTTTCTTGTTTCGGTGTAAGAAGACTAACTTGGCAGGAAAGCCAGAGATGGGGAGAATAGGCAAATCTAAGGATAGGGAAATCAATTAAGGGGTCAATGCTGTGAAAATAAAGGGCACAAAAAGGACAACTGCCATGATCATAAAAGGAAAATCCAGACAGTAGAGATGTACAGAGAGAAGAAAGAAGACAGGGTGATATTAGATATAAAAGATGTGAAAGAGTACAATAGGAAAAAAGAATTTCTAGGCTTCAAGAGTAAAGAGCATTGTTATTAGCAATTTCTTGTTTAGAAATACACAGAAATTTCGACACACACACTGGCCAGGTTACACCCAAGCATTGGAAGCATTTCTAAGCCTTGCATGTTAATAAGGACAATGCTGAGTTACAATATTTCAGAATCAGAAGAAATGGGAAAAAAGTCAGTGTTATGGGCTGAATTACATTCCCTCAAATTCAAATGTTCAGCCCTAACCCTCAGTATTTCAGAATATGACTATATTTGAAGATAGGGTTTTTAAAAAGGTAATTTAAAATATAGCCCTTAAGATGGGTACTATTCCAGTCTCACTGGTAGGTGTCCTCATAAGAAGAGGAATTTTGGGGGCACCTGGAGGGCTCGGTCAGAGAAGCGTGTGACTCTTGATCTTGGGGTTGTAAGTCTGAGCCCCACGTTCGGTGTAGAGATTTCTTAAAATAAATACATAATTAAAAAAAAAAAGAAGGGGAAATTTGGACATGCTGGGAAGAGAAAACCGGGGAAATGCACACACAGAGGAAAGATCATGTAAGGACACAAGAAGAAATCAGCCATCTGCAAGCCAAGAAGAAACTAATCATTCTTACACCTTGATCTTGAACTTCTAGATTCCAGAATTGTGAGCAAATCAATTTCTGTTATTTAAGCCACCCAGTCTGTGGTATTTTCTTATGGCAGCCCCAGCAAACTAATATAGTGGAAAAACAGATAATACAGATGTAATAATAGTCATAGGTATTAGGTAGCTTGAGGTTAAACCAATGGCTCTTGGCTCATTTCTGCCAGGTTTTTATACATAATATAAAATTGTACTATTAAGATATATATTATTACATCAATGTCTATCAGATGGAAAACTGGGCCATAAAACGACAGTGGGATGCACTATGCAGTCAGTACTACCTGCTTTAAGTCAGAACTAAGTATAGCATAAAGGTGAAGTTTGTGTATTTCCCTGAACCAAGAGAACCCTGTTTCAGTAATTTTTATTAAAAAAAATCATTGTAACAATCATTTTTACTATAATGTAAAACAATTAAAAACCTAGTGAAGAATGGGAAACAGGCACAAATATATCATCAAAAGATTCTAGTATTCGAAAATCTAATACAACCACGTAAAATTTGAGTTCAGTGAACAGTGAGTTCATTGCCTAATAATGTGTATACGATAGGGTAATTGAGAGTCATACAAAGCTGTTCTTTCTACTGGATAGAAATCATTCAGCCTACTTAAACACAAATCATTCACCAATCTACACTTACCTGAACTAGAAAAGTACGTGTTCAACAGAGCAAATACTATTCTTCCATCATGTAATAATATCAAAACATAGGAAAACATCTAAAGTCTACTTTTATCCAAGCTAAATGTCTTTAATTTATTCAACTTTTCAGGATGCCTGGGTGGCTCAGTCAGTTGGGCATCCGACTCTTGGTTTCAGCCATGGTCTCAGGGTCATGGTCTTGGGGTCATAGTCTCAGGGTCGTGGGATTGAGCCCCGCATCCAGCTCCATGCTGGGAGTCAAGCCTGCTTAAGATTCTCTCTTCCTCTCCCTCTGCCCCTCCCCCTAGCTTGCATGGGTGCTCACTTGCTTGCTCGCTCTCCCTCTCTCAAAATAAAGAAATAAATTTTTAAAAATTCAACTTTTTCACCAGGCTCTTACCACTTTATCAATAACAATTTAATACCCATAAATTAATAGTTTCTTTCTTTCTTTTTTTAAGATTTTATTTATTTATTTGACACAGAGAGAGACAGCGAGAGAAGGAACACAAGCAGGGGGAGTGGGAGAGGGAGAAGCAGGCTTCCCGGGAGCAGGGAGCCCGATGTGGGACTCGATCCCAGGACCCTGGGGTCATGACCTGAGCCGAAGGCAGACGCTTAACGACCTAGCCACCCAGGCGCCCAAATTAATAGTTTCTTATTGTCATCTCACCAGATGGTAGGACTTTATTAAGTCTGAAAATAAACACAATCTAAATATGCCCTGTAAGCCATTAACCAAAACTGAGATTTTTGTGCCAAGTATAAATCATATCTTTTTCACCTGATCTACTTTTAAAACATGGATTCCCATCCAACGTTTTAATGGTTTTTAAAAACTACATCATATTTATCTCTACTAAATTTAATCCAACAGTGTCAACAACTGTATTAAGATTCAAAACATCTCCATAAGTTTAATTGAAGAGCTCCAATTATTATCTCTTTATCCCAACTTTATGTCATATCAACATATCTGATTTTTTATACCATTTTCATTTCAGTCACTAATTAAATGTTGGACAGGGTGTGAACAAATAGGGTTTTGCAAGCCAAAATCATCTAGATTTATATTTATTAATTTATCATCATAATAAACTATATATGAAATCATAAAACAAACTCAACTATAGAGAACAAACTGAGGGTTGATAGAGAGAGTTGGGTGGGCGATGGGTTAAATAGGTGATGGATATTAAGGAGGGCACTTTTTGCGATGAACACTAGGTATTGTATGTAAGTGATGAACCATAAATTCTCCTGAAACTAATATTATGCTATATGTTAACTAACTGGAATTTAAACAAAAACCTGAGGGGCACCTGGGTTGCTCAGTCAATTAAGCCTCTACTTTCGGCTCAGGTCATGATCCCATGGTCCTGAGATTTAGCCCCGTATTGGGCTCCCTGCTCAACAGGGAGTCTGCTTCTCCTGCTCTGCTCCTCCCCCCTGCTCAATGTGCTCTCTCTCTCAAATAAGTAAATAAATCAATAAATCTTTAAAAAATAAATAAATAAACACTTGAAGTGAACAAAAAAGAATCATAATCCCACTGACAATTTCTCACCTAACCTACAAAGATACCAGCATAACATTTATGACACGGTATTATAACAAGCTTCTTCGCCCTAGATGGTAAACAATTTGAAAAAAGAGGTTGCATTTTATTCATGTGTCCTTATGGCTGTCTCAAAATCCATTCAGTATTTTTTTCTGAAAATTAATGCACAAATAAAAATATTAAAAGATTTATATGAAAACAAAAAAAATATTTTCTTCAGAGAAGAATTCCTTCTCAAATTTTTTCTAAGCTTCCCTGGTGGTCTAGTGATTAGGATCCAGTGCTCTCTCAAATTTTTCCTAGTATATACCTAAATTATATAATTTATAACCATATATCTATTTATAGAGTTGAAACTGACTTAATTTTATTCTTAATAACTTCCTAATATAAAAATATACACAGATACAAATCACAAACATGGAATTTCCCAAAGATACAGAAAAAAAAGATTTACACTGCATGAGAATTGTGTACATGTGTGGTTCCATAAACTTTGAGCTCATAATATGTACAAAGCTCTACATTAGATAGTCCCTGCAATTTGCTGCATGAAAATATTCACCAAGTATATGCACACAGGTGTTTTGAACAGCATAATTCTCTATCTCCTAGACATCTTTTTGTTCTAGTAATATATACATTATTTATCGTTTCATTTTAATTACTATTTGAAAAAAACCTACCGATGGAAACTATCCACCATTTTTAAATGGACACGGAGATCTTTTTTTGTTAGGTGATCTAACATTCTTGCATCTACCAAGCATTCCATGAAATAACTTCTGTATTGAGGTAACCCCAGGCTGGGAAGCCATTCATTTCCAATCCACTCGTGGTTCATATCTCCATAAGCAAGAGTCTGTAGAAAAACCGGACACTAGAATTGTTTTATAGCAGTCAAGTTTCTTAGCCAATAAGATGAGATGGTAATAGGAGGATATTGCATATTATGATAACTGACATTTAATTACTATAATATATGGGAAAAAAGCAGAAATAATATCTAGCCTTTAAGTATTTGATTTAATTTGATAAAATGAAACTCTAGGTACATGTATCATGGCACCTGCTTATAGGAAATGATTGTGTTTGTTTTGTATTCTCAAAAGAAATTATATTATATACAAATATGCATTTTTAAATTAAAAAACAGAATTAATGACAAAATATAAACACTGAGATTCTTTGTATAGGTAAGTTTATTTAATATAACTGATTTTTATCTGTCTGCTAATAGTCCACCATCTCTTCGATGCTACTATTAGCATTACCATGGCATTATTGCAAATCTCAACATGAAAGTAGAGACCTTAGTAAACAAATAGAGAAAGGAGCAACAAGTCTAGAGAGACAGAATGCTGAAGCTTTTTGTGGACACTGTTGTTATCTAGTGAAGCATGCAGCCAGTGGTCCATAAAGGTCACTGGGAATAATCAGTCTCTTTTAGAAATCAATCAGTATAGACTCTGTATTTAAGAAGCAGGGTATGGTCAAAAAACAAAGAAATAATCTAGTTATTTAATATAACAATATGAAAGAACTCATCTAACCAAGCATTGTTCATGACAGCCAAAATGAAAACCAAAGTCAACCATCACCTCTAAACCAATTGTTAAAAAGGACTATTACTATCTACTAATTTTACAGTTCTTTATGTTACAACAAATTCACAGTTGTAATTATAACATGTATTTCTAATGAAAGTCTCAGGCTCTCCCCTTCTTTTGCGTGTTCTTAAAAAGGATGAAATTCTTACCCATATCAAAACCAAATACCACCCTAATTTACTGAATGTTTAAACATAGGTCCTAGTAATAACTGTATACCAAGTTTTTCTTATAGTCAAAGGTTTGAATCAGATGCCTAATCACGTGCATTAATTCTTTTGGTTGTATGTCATGTGGATATGCTGAAAAATGTGCAGCTTCCTTGCAAACACACATGCTTGTTCAAAGTACAGATGCCTGTCTCATATGGCCATCTCAATTAATGGAAGTGACTTCCGATCTGCAGTCTCATGCTGACACATGGCCTTCGACCCCAGGCCGCCCACGCTTTCCATTATACTTTAAAGCACATGTTTTGTAAGGTTTTTTGTAACACCCCCTTTTATATCCAACTTGAATGATTCCTGATTAAATATATTCAGGGGCGATTTCAGAGAAATTTAAGTTACAGTTCCTTCTTTTGAAAAAGAAAGAAAATTTCCCTTTCAAAGAGGCCAGGTATGAAATGATATTCATTTTCTTAGCAAAATATGGTGATTTAAAAGGACATATATAGTATTAAACATAACAAATTCAAATATACATATTAGCTTAATCCTAAGCTAAGTGAAGATTTATATTATGACATACTACAGTTTCTTATTTTATATCCTCATAGAGTACTAAATGATATTGTTTTAAAGCATATGAATTTCCTACCTGGGCCCAGCTTCCTTCCTCAGATTCTTTCTGTGTTAGCAGCAGGGAATGATTAATAAAGCAGATGAATATAAATTAATCTCAAATGAAGACAGTAAAATTATTCTAGCAGAAGCAAAACTGTTTGTTATTGAAAATGTTAATTATGACTTAAGTAGATAAATACACTGATCCTTATTCAAACCCATAGTAATCAATATAGCAGTTCAAGAGCAGCCATGTGGTTTCCAGTTAATTCCGATTAAACATACACACATACAACATATGGGCTTTTCATGATATTTGATCTGGTCATTCCAAACCTTTTTTTAATTCTTAAAAGTATGTTGTTTTCCAAATGTAAATGTAAAAAAAAAGCTACAATAAAAATTCCTGATTCTATATATACAAGTATACAATACACGTAAATGTTTTTTTTTAAAGATTTTATTTATTTATTAATGAGAGACAGAGAGAGAGAGAGAGAGAGAGAGGCAGAGGGAGAAGCAGGCTCCCAAGGAGCAGGGAGCCCAATGCGGAACTCGATCCCAGGACCCTGGGATCATGACCTGAGCTGAAGGCAGACGCTTAACCATCTGAGCCACCCAGGCGCCCAATACATGTAAATGTATACACACACACACACACACTGAAAAAAATCTAACATAAAGTAAATTAATGAAGTACAAAAAGTAACTGTTTCCCTCTAACAAAGCTTTGTGGTAATCAAACAGATTTCAGCAACAGTCAACAACAAACAAAAGCAAACATGAGTAAAACCAAACCCAACAAAGTGAACTAGAAATATAGTTAGAAAATGACATTGGTATTTTTATCCTTCATAAACTAGATAATCAATTTTTCACATATGGATACAACCAAAAAGACATTAGATTAAAAGAAGCTGCTAAGAATAAAATGTATGACATACAACTTTGTTACTTTAAATGAAAAATGAGTATATGTAAGACTATATTTTTAAAAGCTGACAATTATAATCAAAGTCACTAAAAATTTCTTTAAGCCTGTGCTTTGAATATCAAATGAACAGAATATTTTTGGAGGGGTGGAGTTTTAAGTTCTGTATTGGTAAAGTACAAGAAACTAAATGCTTGTATTAAAAATGAGTCTTCAGGGAGCCTGGGTGGCTCAGTCAGTCAAGCATCTGACTCTTGATTTTGGCTCAGGTCATGATCTCGGTTGTGTGAGACTGAGGTCCACACTGGGCTCCGTGGTCAGCAAGGAGTCTGCTTGGGATTCTCTCTCCCTCTCCTCCTCCCTCTCCCTCTACCTCTCCCCTCTATCCCTCTCTCAAATAAATAAATAAATCTTTTAAAAAAAAAGAAAAAGAAAAAAAGGAGTGTTCAATCTGAACTTTTCTATTACCAGTTTAATTGGGTTTGATAACATGTATTACCTATGAATATGCCCAATACTAGGTGATAGCTGTTACTAAAAATTCCCAGGGTTGCAAAATGGATTAATAAGCTTTGTAAAATTCTTGATTATTGCCCGCACATTACAAACTCATTATGACCATCTAGCCCTGTTTCATTAACAATGTTCAAGTGCAGTAAAATGAAACCTTAACGAAAAATATTAGTTTTCATGCATATCGCTATGGAAACATACCCATTACTCTGATCTGTCACACACAAAATAGCTTTTTCATCCCAATAGCAGCCAAATAACTATTTTTCATGTTCAACAAAGCTGTAAGACTAACCGTTTTTGCTGGAGCAGCCAGATTTTCCATTTCTTCATGGGTCACCCAAACGTTGCCTGAAGGCTAGTGAGGAGGCCCGCGGGGAAGCAGTGGGATCCACGGGAGGGAAGCAGTGGTAAAGAAGAAAGGCAGCAGTACTGTAAGTTACCAGCCCCACAGCAACACGACAGTGCTCTTGCTTCTACAGCATGCACAGGAGAGACAGCATTGCTGGTTTGCTCAGAGCTCCCTTTTTCTTCTACTTAAAAAGATTAAATAGAAAGAGGCATGCTGTGAAGCTCCTGTGGGATAGATTTAAAATGATGCTCCTGTGATTATTAATCAGGAAAAAGGCCAAATCACGATTTGCATTTCAAAGGTAGGGAGCTATTGGATCCATTTTTTTTTTTTGTAATCATAAAGAACTGATTAAATTTGATCTGTAGGGGAATGTATTTATTTTTCTTCAGAAAACAAAAGCACAGGTACTTTGCTGTGCAATTACCAGTATTTCATTCACAAAGTTTTGATTCTTCAATGTCCTTGAAAAGAGAAAATTGGTGGTCAATACAAAGCAGAAAGCACTATCATCATCTATCTGGAAACTAACATCAGTTTTTCCCAAATGATTTCTTCCTTTTATAATTCCTTATGTATGTTGTTTTCCTATATTCTTATAGAGGAAAAAGAAGTAAAATGCTACTTTTAATTTAAAGGGTATTTTTTTAACCTTACTAAATGCTGTCAGAAATTACAAAACCTAGGCTTCCCAATTTCTCAGCAGTGTCCTATACCATTATAGAGAATAACATGATGTAAAAGGAAATTTTCCTTTTAGCAGGCACTATTCTTTTATAAAGTCGCATTTGTTTTCTAAATAAGATAACCCATGATATTTGCTCTATACACTGAATAATGCACAATTTCTAAACTAAAGTCCAGTTAGTAACATACAGATCAGACATGTTGTTGATGGGAACGGCTACTGGGAACCACTTCCCATTAAATTCCACCATTTCACTGGGAAATTCTTATGAACACTGCAAGGTTGTCCAAGTACGTCCATCCTATAGTTACAATGGAATTTATATCCCATACATTGCTTACAACTTGTTTTGGAAGGGGTCTAGAATTGGAAGTAGGAAATCTGATGCCCCCACACAAACCTCCACCATAACTCTCTCTGTCGTCTTCTACCAACACACAGTACTGTTTTAATTTTCCTTCTGTTAAACATTATGTTATAATTTGAAAAATAACTACATATAAACTAAACTGATGAGTATAATTCAATATAAGAGAAATCTCATTTATAAGAGAATTATATATATATGAGTAATGCGTAATATAGAATAAGAATATATATATAGTTGAGTAACAAAGGGGAGTTATGCCCCACATTGGGCATAGAGCTTACTTAAAAAAATCCCAGAGGACAGCCATCATATATGTAAAATTTATATGTGCAAAATTCTCATTTTCCTACCATTTTGGAATTTAAAGTATATCTGAATTTTTCCCTATAAGATAAAACTATGTGTACTTAGGAACTATTTTGAATACTGGAGTCACCTACGTTATTAAGAGCCCCTCCCCTCTACTCCCAGCTTTTGGGAATGGTGCTCAATATAAACAGAGGCATATGGATGTATGAATCATTAAATCACTTGGAATAAATTGCTTTTATTAACTTTATGAAGAGTGTACTATACTAAAAAGAACTTAACACTCCTGTGTCACATACCCTTTATACCCAGAGACCACAGTGCTTTGCCTGAATGGCTGTACTGTTTGTTCAAAGGGAACTGCTGTGATGGTTACTCGAAATTCACTTAAGCCAGTCTCGTTTTACAACGATTTCTGTAGCTTTTCTGTTAACTGTGAATCCAAATAATTAAGATCTCCCTCCTTCTGTAAGAAACTTGACCTGTATTATCTCATACTGGAATTCATACATGTATAATCCCCTTCAGAGTTTATCTTAAAGTTTATATTGGCCAGTCTATCATCATATTCTGGAATGGGCAAGATGCTTGAAGCCAGGGTTTTATCTGTAGCTCTTTACATGCGAAATAATATATACTGATATATAATATATACATGCAAAATAATATATACGGCTGGCAAACTTTCCTAAGTTGTATGTTAGTTGTTCTCTTTTGACCTGTAGTTTTACTTGTGAGGAACACTGTCTGTTCTAGAATCTTGTAAAGTAACTCATAAAATAGCTTCTGCACAACCCAATCATTTAGACATTCGTTGAGGTTTCAACAAGTTGATTTTATAAGCAAGCCCATGCGCCATAAGTCAATTATTCAGATTTCTTTCTCCTCACCACCTGCTAAAGGTATGGAACTTTCACCTGGGTAAGTAAGTCATAAAGGGATGATGTAGGGCATAAGCATTCCAGTGAAGAGCATGTCTTAGGGAATAGCTAGAGGGCGAGGCTTTGAGCAACCAAAGGACAGAGGATACTATGCCTGGGGTCCAAAGATAAAGAGTGCAAAAAAGTAACTTGGAAAAGCATAAAGGACAAGGATCACATAATTTGACTGTGGTTCTCTGAGAGCCATTGAAAATGACTTACTCATTCCTTGGCAGTCTATGCTGTAGCCCCCAATTCTGAGCTGAAGAATACCTACCTATAGTCATTTTCATGTGTGTGTGTGTGTGTGTGTGTGTGTGTGTGTGTGTGTGTGGTTAACAGTCTGAATCTAATAGGTGATTTCTAAAATTTCAACTATCTGGAAATTTACCAAATTATAATAAAGATGCTTGAGTTCTAGCAATGCCACTTTTCAGTAACTACCCTAGGACATTTCCTAAACCTCTCTAAGTTTTAGATTCTATATCTGTTAAGTGGGTTAGGAATGTACTTCATACTAGAAAAAATATTGAAAAATTTATAATATAATCAATTTTGATACAGGTCCGAGACTAAGATAAGGCAGGTAAGGTATCAAGGGGACTAAACTTAAGGAAGCACTCACTTTCATGGCTGTGCAAATGCAAGGTCAGCACCTGACAGAGCATGCCTCCCTCAGTATTGTACTTGACCTGCCTGAATTGCCTCACCTTAGTCCAATCAGAGTAGAATATATAGATAGTATTATCAAATGAGAACTAGGAGGAAGATTCCTAATGGTTGTTGAGGATTAAAGCACTTACCTAATTAAGTCATTCAGGAAAGAGTTACAACATAAAAATAAATATTAAAATTAGTTTAAGAGATAACTCATGAAAATTAATTATGGGAAAATAATCACTTCTCTTGCTGGCAGAAATAGAAAATAAGTAAAGCAGCAAGACCCCAGAATAATCCTAAACCTTACCTTACCTGGAAGTAACTTCTGTTACTTCCTAGGTCATTTTGCAGTATTATTCTACTTGATAATTGAGTTACAAAGTAAATAAACTTGACATTTACTTTTCACATTCGAAATGGCCCAGAATCACATTTCTCCCCATCTGATTTTATGTTTTTCAGTATAAGAAGAGAAATATTTCTTATTGTATGAAGACTAGCATTTGCACAATTGCACCTCACTTTATTATGAGGTTACTAATAATGGAAAGGGGAACCAAAGCAGACTGGAAGAGTGCCGTAAAACAGAAGAAAACAGGTAGATGCAGGAAGCAGGAGGGTGTACTTAACAGTAGCATAAACTCTGGGGCAAACCACAAGGTGGTGGGACCTTCAACAAGTCACTTAACCTCTCTGTACAGCAGTTTTCCCATCTGCACAACAGATATAAAAAAAAAAACACCCATCTCATAGTGTTGTTGTTGTGGGGCTTAAATCAGTGATAACATGTAAAGCACTTCAAACAGTACCTGACACTTAGGCATCCACTGATGTTGGATATTATCACAGTTTCATTAGAAATTTACAATTTCTTTAGAAATTTTGTTAAGCAATTTCTACTCCAGTAAATCTTTTGTTTCATAAATGCTCTTTGTTTCCCCTGTATATTGTGCTGACTGATGCCTATTTTGTGCTTCACATTTCTGCTCGAATTTGCTGAATTCTGCGTTCCCAAACCCATTTTTTATACTGCACTATTTTTTTACTTAGGCAATTTAAATAAATATTACATAAAATGAAAATAAGTTTCACTCACATATGAACATTGAGTTGAATTATTTGGAAAGACAGATCTAGGCAAATCTTATAACACGTTATCAATGAGATACAATTTCATCAAAGTCGGGAAAAGATTGTAAATGTCCAGGAGGATTCTGCGCTCAAATAGCTTTTTGAGTATCCTGAAGTTACCACTTTAAAAAGAAACTCAAACTAGAAAAATTGAAGATGTTTTATGTATGAAGTTATAAAAGAAAGATAATGTAGGACTCCAGGCATTGGAATTGTACTCAAAGAAAAGTCCTAAGTGTTTCATTTAAAATTTACAAGTGCCTGAACATTTACATATTTTTATTGAAGATAAAATATTTAAAGCATGTACTTATTCTTTATGACATCCTCCTTTAACCAAATATTTCGATGAACTGATGTCTCCATCCTTATTCTCTTAGGTAAGAGACTTTCCAGAGTAACAGCAACTCAGGAAGAAGAAACAGAAAGCTGGAAAATGAGGGCTGACCCAAGAAAATAATAAATGTAAATATTAGATTTTCCTTTTGGTGGTCTGGCCCATTTCATGTAGACAGGAAAGGAGGCAGAATCAGACAAGAGTTCTGTTCAGTTAAAAAAAAAAAAGCCTAAGTAAACAATCTTGTCTTTTTCTCTTGAAAATTTGAAAAAATAAGCAAGATACACCTGACTGAGGAACACAAACCCAAACCTGAACACACAGAAACCTTTGTATAGTCTGAACTAATTACAGTGTTCTTCTGGGAGACACGATAACATCCCCGCACTGGGCTCAGTGCTCGGCATGGAGCTGTCTAAGATTCTCTCTCTCTCCTCTCCTTCCGCCCCCACCCCCCTCTAAAAATAAAAATAAAATAAATAAATAAAATAAAATGTGAATCCTAATATATAACTTTAGGTGATGACTTTAAGATGTTTTAGTCTTTACTCTATATGGTGGATTCATTACTAGAAATTTATAAGCAAAGCAAATCATATTTAAAATGTATTAAAAGTGAGTAAATACTTCCATGTGGTGGAGTAAAAGGAAGAAAAAGCATTCAGTAGATCATTATTAAAACAAATAGATACAACTTATCTTTTATGTAACTTGCATCAGTATTTGGTAAAGGGTATATATCCTCTCTGAATAAAGAATTTTTACACATTAGTAAGAGGAATAGTCCTGTATCCTTTAGAAAAATGGAAAAGATTACTAATAGGTAATTCATTTAAATACTAAATCAATAAGCATATGAAAACATTTTAACTTTAGTAGTAATTTTAAAAATATAAATTTAAGCAATGTAACAATCACTGTTAACAAAAAGATGAAGAAAAGGCTACACAATACAATTTGGCAATTTAGATTTAAAAGTAATAAGAATATAAATGCCCTATACACAAATATTGCTATGGAAAAAGTTTTTGCAACAATATAACTATATGTGCATCCACTATGGTATTGTGAATACAATGAAAATTGTTAAGCAAAACGTCCAATATTAGGGATTTGGTTAAATACATTATGGTATTTCCATGAAGGAGTTATACAGCAATTAGACATGATATTATAATTGTATATTAATAATATGAGGAAAATGTTCACACCATACTACTAAGTTTTAAAAGAAAAATATAAAATAATATATGATGTGAAATAATTCATCTTTCTAAAAAGATAAAAGAAATAGACTGAAAAGGTATCTTATCCAAAAGTTACTATTGAACAAAATTAGTAATTTTTAATAATTAATTAATAATATATTACCTGTTTTTGAACTGTTAGTTCCTTTTTGAAGCCTTATTCAAATTCCAGAGAAGGTTTGCCCTTCTTTGGAATTCCACAACTTTTTGCTTCTGCCTAACATTGAGTAATTAAACTATCTCATCTACTAAACCTAGTGGTGAGCAAGTCTTATTTTCTTTAGCATAGCTGTCCTATGGTAGAAGGGCATAGAAGTCAAGGCCATACAGATTTTACAGCCTCTGCATTCGTTGGTAGAGTGACTTGTACAATCACCATTCTTAAGATGAATGTTTACTGACTACTCTCTATAATTTGCCTGGCACTGAATTAAGGCCATGGAAAACTGATAATATCCTTGGTTGGCTTTAGTGGAGGATAAATTAAGAAAAAAATTTAATTGGTTTTTATAAGTATATGGAGTGGTAACGCAGGAAGGGAAGCAAACCGGATTTTGGTGCATAGTGAAAGCTTTTTCAAGGAAAAACATTCACGAATCATTCGATGAATGATGAGTTGGGGAAGGATGGTGATCCTGGAGTGGGAAGAGTGTTCCAGACAGAGTGAAGAGCAATTGCAAAAGCTCACAATCACCCACAAGCATGAAAGTTTAGCAAGCTGAAAGCAGTTCTGTGTCACTGGGATCCTGTCCTGGGGAGATAAAGCCTTTGAGGTGAACTGAGGCTACATCACTAGATCACGAAGAGTCTCATTGTAAATTCTCTCCACATTTGACTGTTCTTTAAACAACTGAGTATACTTTTACTTTTAATAGTTTGTGATTTAAATTTCTTAAGTTCACTTAGATATTTTTAGAAAAATAGTGCTTAATTATTCTATTTTCCATTAAGAAATGGATCTGGATGTTAAATAAAAATCATAAAATATATTCTACTTTTCCTCTTGAAATTGGGACTTCAAAGGTTCCAATTTTGCATTTTCAGCAACCACGTATGCATTTGCTCCTAGGAAAAGAGTGTCGATACAAACAAGCTGTGATGCTTTGCTCTCACTCGGAAATTAAACTCTATCAGATCTGAATTTGGTTTACAATACCTATTTTAATGGGCTACTCAGCTTTTATGTTAAACATATTCTGTATTATTTCTTAGCTTAAGTAACACGTCAGCTATAGGATACAACATTATAGACATTTTAAAATAATGTTATACATAATGTTTGTTAAACTGTATCTTTTTTCTACATCTGATTTAGAAAAAGTTAAAATGGAATTATGCAAGAAAGATAAAACTTTTTTAAATTTGACCTGGTATTTCTGGCATTAGAACCTAGTATGCTGGGAAGGAATGTAAAGGTAGATACAATACACATGAAGCCAATTCTTTCGGACTGTTGGAGGCCACAGAGGAAAAGTTGTCTCAAGTTTAGTTTTGTGTCTGAAAACTGCAATAAAGTAATACCACTTTTCTATCTTTTACCCACATCTCAAATGTACCTCATTCTTTCATATTTTGTTATTCTGCATAAGACATGGGACCAGAGAAATTCAGTTAACATCAGAAATCATATCCATTACCAGCAAAAGATATATATAAATCAGGAGTGGACTAAAGAATGAATATTATTTGGAGTTGTTCTTAGTATATGAATTTGTCATCTGGCATGCATTTTCTTTTAGACATTTTGTTCTTTCCTAGCATTAGGATAGGGACACAATTATCAGAAAAATAGGGATTTATAAATGAGAAGCAAAGAGAATTTGCAAAGAGAGAATTTGAAGGTTTTCCACTTGGTGTTTATAAAATATCAAATATCTGCACAGTTGCATAATTATGAAAACTGCGTAAGAAGTAGTGAGTTCGGCATTGCATCTTTAGAAAGCACTAATGCCAACAGCTCATCTCCTGTTCTTTTTTTTTTTTTTTTAAAGGGAACATCCTAAAAAAGAGTAAACTTGGGATACTGTTGCCTGGGAGAAAAACGTAGACTTTAGTTAGAAACTAGCTCAAAAGTCTATCTTGGTCACAGTCTTCAAGTCTGATCGGAATCACAGCTCCTCACTTGAAAACCTATTAAAAGTAGCAGCAAGGTTAATGAAGAGCAAGCTAAAGTCTCTTCCGAATAATTCGTGCTGACATTGAAATGTGTGCTGCCACAGCCTGGCTCTGTGGACTTAGAGAGGCTGCTATTTGCCCAGCACTGGAGAGGGAAGGAGCACAAGCGGACTCACAGTTCGGGATGTCGGAGGAGCTGAAGGACTTGTTAGGGAAACCATCTCCTGGATTGCTAGTCGCAGCTTTAAGCGATGCAGGGGATTGCTGATTCCGATTTCTCTCTGGATCTCAGTGTCTGATAAAGCAGACATGATGGCTCCACTTTTCACGTTGGCTCGGCAGGCTGCTACGTACCAAGCAGGCATTCCCAACCAGAGCTGTTGGGTAGGGAAAAAATACATACACAGATTATACTAATAGTTAATAGTGTCTCTTATGTGCTAGGCACTATTCTAAGTACTTTACACATATGAACTCTTTTACTGCCCAAACCCCAAAAGCAGATGCTATTATTATTTTCCCCAGATGACACAGAGGCATAAATGCATTAAGCAATTTATTAAAAGATATCAGCTAGGCAGTGATGGAACTAAAGATTTGAAATTGAGTCTCTCGGGTGTGCAATTTAACAACTATTTTATATTATTAGGTTAAACATAATAGCTGCACATCACCAAATCCACCCCTGCCCCCTTGGATTTAAGGACAAGAAGAACAGCCCCAAGCTGCATTTGGTAAAGGCTCAATCGACTTTGTCTAATGCGTGAATTCAATTTATCAATCTCCTTTGGAATTCTGAGGGCAAAGAAGTTCTGTCGCCGAAAGAGATGGCCCTACCACCTCCAGCCATGTGATTTTGATCCAAGCCTGTATTGTAGTTAAGCCCCATTTCTCACATACCTACCTATAGCATGCGATAGTGGTGTGAACTTAAGTTGATGTTCTGCATGGACAAAGTTTTGGAGGATAAAATGATGTGCTAAAGGGAGAGACTGAAGTTATAAACATCTGGAAAACTTTAGGTAAAGAGAATAAGAAAATGAATAATGCATCAGAACTTAGGGATTCCAATTTTTCAACTTTGCTATGATGCTCTTAAAAGACAATGGAATCGGTAAACAGTGTCTGCACACGTCTTAAGCGCTGGGTGAATGCCAACTCACACGGATGGTGTTGTAGCATTTGAATTACGCACATTTGGAAAAAGGAATATTCTCTCATTTCCCGTTCCCCCCCCATCATTAGCTATGAATAAGAAGCAGGGCACAGGCAAGTGAGCAGTTTAACTCTTGGTCTTTAAATGTCCAAAATAGTGATTTTTTTGGACTATTTTATTTGTTGATATGAACAGATTAAGCAAAAGGAGTGAGGACAGTGAGAACAGGACAAAGAAGAAAAGCCATGAATCAGCAAACGTCACCGCCCAGAGCTCTGGGCCAGGAGGCTGGGCTCTCGCTGCTTCAGTGCCACTGGCGAGGCCTGGAACTTCTCTAAACTTTGGCCTTATTTTCTTCATTTGTAAAACAAAGAGAGTCAGCTTTATGACTTCTAGGGCATTGTGGTAGGCAGCTTCTAAGATGGGTCCCAGGGATTTCCTCCTGATATTTGTGCTTCTGTGTAATCCTCTGCCTTTGACTTTGGGCTGAAACCAGTGTCTTATATCTAATGAATAGACTATTGTAGAAGTGATGGGATGCCACTTTCCAGATGAGGTTACAAAACGAGGGTAGCTTCACTCCTGCTAGTCCTCTCTCCCTCCCTCCTCTCAGTGCTCTGGCTCTGGGGGAATTCAGCTGCCACGTTGTGTGCAGCCCTGCTGGAGATACCCACGTGGCAAGGAACAGATGTGACCAGCCAGTCACTGGCAAGGAACTGACTCATGACTGTGAAAACAAGAGTCAGCTTGGAAGTGGATTCTCCCCACATCAAGCCTTGAGATGCCTGCCAATCTGGCTGACCCCTTGGTTGCAGCCTCGTGAGAAACTTTGATCAGAAACCCAGGTTAGATTCCTGACCCACAGAAGCCACGAAGAAAATAAATGTTACGTTTTTGGATACTTTGTTACATGGTAATAGATAACTAACCCAACTAGATATCCTTTTATTTAAAAAATTCTGTCGTATGTATGAGGAAGTTAACTTGTCTCTACAGGGGAGGCAGACAAACAAACAGAAAGCCAAATCTTTGAGTCACTGTGGCCTGGGCTGTGATTAGAGATAAAAGACAAGGCAGAGGGGCTCTAAGTATAGCCCATCACTGAGAAGTTCATGCTATCTTCCAGCAGGTGTGGCACAAAGTATTGACCTCACCTTGACAGGCACTGTTAGATGGGATGGAAGATGGGACTTCTTAGTTTATAAACTCATGTTGTGCACAATAAGTAAACATCTAAATATACCTTCCCTGGACCCTAATGATTTTTCACCCCCCCTTTCTAAGATATTTAGATTTCTATACTGAATAATATTACCCAAATCTTGCCAATACACTGTTATGGGTACCATCCTTAATTAGACTTTCAAAAAGTTTCTGGTGTTGACAAATGGTGTGTGAAGCAGCAGACTTATGTTTGCACATCATTCTTACCAGGCCGTGCACACGAGGAGGCACTAAAGGAGCTAGAAAGTTAAGAGCTCTCCATCATTGGATCACCCTGCTCACTCATCTTGTTTATTCCATTTTATCATTTGAGTCACTTTAGGAAGCACATTATGAGCAACTTCTGTGTGCTCAGGATAGGTTTAATTAGCACAAAATTTCACTGCCTGTCATTTCCTAGCTCCTTAATGTCGGTAAAGCTTTTTTCTTTTTTGTCTAAGGCTTTGTTCATCACTTGCCAAAATAGCAGCTAACTCTCTGTCAAACTGTAGCTCATTTTACTGGAGTGACACTGAACAAAAAAACTGCTATCAATTTTGAAGTGTGCTTTCCTAAGCATGTTGCCTTATAGTTGATTTTTAAAGTATCATAATTTTAAAAGCACATTTGGAAGAAGCAGCTCTGATCACTAATATGCTGAAAATCCCCTGACTGATATGAGAAAATAAAATAAAGCAAGACAGAGGCTTCTTTCACTCAGTCTAAGAAAAAAGTATGTCTTTATATCTATCTATATAAGACTAATTTTTAAACTAAAATGGGTTTTCATTTTTCCTCGTTGATTAATTTGTTAGCTCTGGATATGATAGGATGATGAAAGTCAGTGATTTCATCATCTCCAACCACTTAGAACAATGGGTTCCAATAGCCTCTGCCAGGCAAGAAAAGCCTGTTTTCTTCTTTGCCCTGACATTGGCATCTCCCGGCAGCGGCTAGCAGCCCACGTTAGAGAACCGAATGGAATAGGCAGTGAGCACTATTAATACGTGGTACGAAGGGGTCTTTTGTGATGAAATGTGTGTTTCCTCCACTGCCCCAGTCTGCTCCTGCTGCCCCCCACCCTGCTCAGGTGCTGTTTTTTTGTTGTTGTTGTTTTTTGTTTTCCCGGCCCCAGTGTTCTGTAGAAAATGCTGAATGTAGTTCTTGTTTCATTATAACACTCACTTCAGACCAAGAGGAGAACAAGGGGCTAAGTGTTCTCTTGCTTTATTCCAAGTGGCTAAACCTAGCTGGCCTCTAGGTTTTAGAGAATTAGGATCTAGAATTAATTTACAAGCAAAGGAATGGTTCTCTATGCAATCAGGTGACAGTGATCTCTTGGAAAACACAGAAGTGTTGAAGATAGAGATGGCTCTTCTCTGTAACCTGCTGATGAGGAAGAACTCTGGACTGATGGATGGGGACAGATGTTTTCTTGCGACAACAGATGTGTGGCTCAATAGCTGTCTTCTCTTTCTCTGGACATGAAGATGGTGAGATTTAGAGAAACTTCCTTTTATCCCACTGGGTGCTTCCTTCTGCCCCAATCACAAGAATGTATCAGAGTAAGATCCAAACAATGCCCGTAGCCCCCTGGATAAAGCAAATATTCCCTTTATAAGCTACTCCAGGCTACTGGAAAGCTGCGACTTCAGGAACCCATCCTTACCTGTATCTAGAAAAAGTATCAAACCGAAGTGATGAATTTAAGAGCTTTCTGGTTTAATTCTCTTACCTCCAGCCATGCAACCACAGTGGGCCCATCCCACTGAGCAAAAGGTAATCCCTTCCTCCGAGCTTCTTCTAGAAGTTCATGCCTGAAGTACACAGCAGAGATTATTAGTTATGTAGCATGGAAAAAGACAGTGGTGACTATTTTTAATGACAATATTTTTTAAAAACCAATAATCCTTTACAAACTTTTTCTGAGCTAATACAGAATAACAGAATTCTTTCTTCCTTTTAGTAATACATGGAAATCACCCACTGATTTTATGAGTGAAACATGGACATCTAAAAATAATTTCTCCCAACATTTATTCACAAAATTCAAACATTAAATGTTAATGGACTAAGAAGCTGAATTCTATTATCAGCAAATATCTTATCTCTTTAACAAGAAAATAGCCCACATATGCATATTCAAGCATACATCATGGGATCTAAATGAGGCTTCTTCCATCTGCCTTGCTCACTTCTCCTTACGATTTCAATGATAGAGAAAATGTATATAGAGGCAGTAGATAAATTTGGTTATTTTAGTCCCATTCAAGACATGTGCTTCATTTTAGTATGCTGTCCAGGTCCAGGTAGCTATATTCGGAGGTTTTTTTTTTTAATCTAGTCTATGAAATTACCTCTCATTTAAAGAGAGCTCAGAGGGAAATTAACTTCTATCACTAGAAAGCAATGTAAGGTGTGAAATTCAATAGTACATTCCTTTTCATTTATAATCACTCCTGCTTTTAATGAAAGTGAAACACCTCAATGACAACAAATGGTTGTTTCTGATAGAAAAATGTTGTAAAGAGCCTTGACAAATGTATTATTAATCACTGTCTCTACTACTGAGCCTTATAACTGACATCCATTTACAAAACCAATTTGAGTCGTTCATTGTTGAAAGAGCAAATATGTGTTGAACCTCAAATTGATATATACCTGACCAGGACTATATTGGAAAATATATTCTCTGTTCCTTAGTATGCTTTGATCTTCCACACAAATGATAAAAATGTAGTATATTATTTGCTTTTTTGAATGTGTATCTTTCACGCTTAGGAATCTATCAATAATATCATATATGAACTCCAAAATGAAGCATTTGATTATTTCCCACCATCAAACAATCAATTGCTTATTATAGTATGTTAAGATACAGTTGACCTTTGGACAACACGGGGGCTAGGGGAACCAACCCCCCCACACAGTCAAAAATCTGCATTGCCCTTTTGACTCTCCAAAAACGTAACTACTAATAGCCTACTGTTGACTGGATGCCTTTCTGACAACACAAACAGTCGATTAACACATATTTTACATGTTATATATATTTTATACTGTATTCTTATAGTAAATTTAGAGAAAAGAAAATGTTATTAAGAAAATCATAAGGAAGAGAAAATACATTATAATACTGTAGTGTATTTATCGATGAAAATTCTCATATGAGTGGGCCCGAGCAGTTCAAACCCACGGTGTTCAATGGTCAACTGTATATAACCGAAAATGCTTTTCAGTGAGAACTTCCATATTTGCAGTGGATGCTGCCAACAAATAATCAGTGTGAAAAAAGAAACAAAGAGGCAAAATAAAAACTGAAGTTAGAGCAGCTGAAGAGACATATAAATCAACTGCTGTTTTGTTTGAGGGACTAGCAAGGAAAGCACAGGTCAGTTCTACCTGTCAGTTACTCAGCACCTGTGACAGAGAAGAGTGACCCGTGCCTTGAATCCAAAGTGAAAACTAGAGGGGCTTCCTCACCTGGATTTCTGTACCATCCCCCATTCCCTTGCGCTTCCCAACATTCCTTCATTGAAAAACAGACTCAAGGAGCCTAGTCTCACTGCTACTGGTACTGAGAGAAAGGGGTTGAAGGGTCAACCAACCAACCATCAGGTACTCATTGTAAGCACCTGTTGTGAGCTTAGACCTGTGTCCCATGTGAGAATACAGGCATGGCCCCATTTTTTCACAAGATCCCCGGTTAGATAGAAAAAGCAAACACATGAACTGTCTAAAAACACAACACAGTACACAAACAGATGCTAAAACTTGGTGATGCACGTTCTGAGCGGGAGGATTTTGGAATATGGGTCAGAAGCAATGGAAACACTTGGTGAAGGCATTGTGGCAACCAAGCTGGCTTTGAAGGGAATGTGGAAAGGCGTTCTAAGCAGGATAAGCAGTAAATGTGGGGGGTCAGAAGAAGGACTCGGCATGGGATACGTGCAAGCCAATGGAGAGCAGACCTCCACGGGGCTGAGGAGCCTTATTCGGAGTTGTAATGTTATACCCAATAGGGCAAGAAACACTTCCAGTGATGCAGGAGCTGAGTGGCAGTAAAGGGGAAGAAACAGACATTTACAGCCGTTTTTTGCTACATTTAGTAAAAAGGCAAGTAAATAGGCACTCAGCACCAAGGAAGCACATAACATTGTCATAGGTGAATTAAAGGAGTTGTACAAAAGCCATTTTTAAAAGCTAGAACACTTTAATTGTGAAACTTCTGACTAGTTCTCTAAAAATATTACACCACACAAGCCAGAGTGAACCTGTTCAAACTTGAGTCAGATACTGTAACTTCTCTGCTCACAACCCTCCAATCACTCCTGGTCTCCCTGAGAATAAAAGGCAAAGCGGCAGTTAGGATCTACTCTCCTACCCTCTTCAACTCTCTGATTCAGCTGCTACCTCGCACAATGATGCTGCCTCTTCGCTGTTCCCTGGAAACAGGGCAGACCTTTCAGCCTCAAGACCCTTGTACCCACTATTCTCTCTGTGTGGAATGCTTGTGCCCTCTGTTTCCACATGGCTTACTCCCTCTCTACTTTTAATATTTACTCAAATGTCACCTCCTCTGTCTCTCCCCTCTCTCCTTCAACCCCCACCAGACATTCTTTATCCCTGTTCCTTGATTTATTTCTCTCCACAGCACTTATCTTCAAACACAGAGTATCATTTACACCTCAGTCTTTTATATCCCAATCAAATATAAGCTCAAGGAGGACCGATGTTTTCACATATTCTGTTTAGAGATAATTAGAAGCATCTAGAACAAGGTCAGGCACAGACAAGGTGCTCAATATATAGCTGTGAATGTTGAACATGTCTGCCAGCGTTCGCAGTTAGGTACTTCTTGTTAGAGTAAACTGAGCCCCATAACGTATATATTTTTTTGTAGCCCAAGTATCTTTTTCTGTTTTGGCTTACAATACCCATTCAAAGTTTCGTTTCAAAAAAAAAAAAAAATCCTTAAATTCTGTTTTCCTCTTGAGCCAATTTGTCAGAGTAACACTCACTCTGGTGGATCCCGAGTGTGATCTGGCATGGGATCCCTGACAGCAGTGTGGTTAAGATGCAATCCAAGGTGCTCAGGTAGTTCTATTTTCTGTCTTAATGGAAATTTAATCGCACAATTGTTTGTGAAATCTTTGGGCAATTTGGCCCTTGAAAAAGTTTTATTTGTTTTTGCTTTGTTTGTTTTGCTTAAATCGCAAACTCTTGTAACCATGATGACTTTAGTAAGAATATGCTAAGATAATAGGAAAAGGGAACTCTAGTCCACCTGATTCTGTCCCTTGGACCCCAACTGGCAGGGCTGGAGCCCATGTAAAGGCCTTTGAGCTGAAACAGGAGAGAAACTGCCAGGTAAGGGGTGGAAGGCTGGGTTTTGCAGCAGAACGGAGCGCTACATGACTTTAACTCCAGATGCGTTTTCCCTTAATCTGAGGGTAGAATCAACTGTGTAAAGAAATGCACTGAAATTCTCAAAGCAACATTACATTTAATTCTTCTCAATCTTAAAAAACTCTGCACCATACAGAATTTATAAAAGACATATATCTGGGTGTATGCCATGAGAAAGAAGCAATGTTAAAAAAATAATACAGGCAAAACTAGAATAATTGGAAATCACTGAGTTTAATACATTATGATTTTCTAACAGATTATTAAGTGTCAACATTAATTGTATGGGGGCATGCTTCTTCTCATGAGATATTTTGGTGTCACTGACAGAGAAATAGTGACCCGAACTGTTTAGGAAATACTAAATAAAAAACTGATTTGCCACAAACAGGCATTTTGAATATACTGGTGTTCTCTTTTGAACCAGTCCCTGTGTGGAAAGGTATGAATTTTTTTCTATACTCCAGAGTCAACATTTTAAAAGGTCAAGTGACAGTTCTTCCAGAGCAGGGCTGTGATCAACTTTCCCTAGTATATGTGTGAGTCTGGAAATTGCTGCCTTTGTTTTTAGACCTGAAGAAATATTTTTGGTTTTTTTTCTTTTTTTTTCTCTCCAGACAATCTAATATTCAACCATCTTTTCCCAAAGGATAATTTATATATCACTATAATTATGGGTATGCATTTTTGTCTTAAGATGTAGACTAGATTTTAGAGGATATCAGTAGCACTTCCTTTTAGAAAATCTATCTGGCTCAGGGCTAGTCATCACCTGTGTGAAAACTCAAAGAAAAGTACTAATTGTACTGAAGAAGAAAAACTTCTGAATCATTGAGTATTTTCAAGAAACACATTCTCATCTACAGTGAAGAATGCTATTAGATTCCCCCAAAGGTGTCAGACTCTCTTGAATTAGGTGTCAATGAGTTACTGTGACTGGAAAGTGACACCTCAGGAGGCCCAACAGGTGAGAAACTCTTGGGGGGTATGAGTCATTTGCATGCCCATATATAACTGTACAGAGGGGAGCCTGTTCATGCCAGGCCTGATCTGAGGACAGGAACAAGGTGTGGGCACCCTAAGAATAACCAGCCCCAAGGATTTCTGGGTAAATGGTCAAGGATGTCTAACAAATGTACATAAATCAAGGGCATTTGCTGGGTTTGTAGTTTCTAACTCTTAATCCACATGAATGTAAGCAAGCAAGTATGGCTTTGCCTCAGTGACTCAATCCAAATGGAAATGTCTGGTTCCTCCTTTTTTGGTTTTATGTCTCTCCTCAGCTATTGTAGTTTGGACCTAATTGGTGGAGTATGCCTGCATATTTGTAAGCTGTGTTCCTTACAAATGTGAGGACACTCAACAATGTCCTCCTGCCTCCCTGCCTTGCCCCCCCCTCACTTTGTCT